AACAACAACAACAACAACAACAACAACAACAACAACAACAACAACAACAACAACAACAACAACAACAACAACAACAAATTTGATGATAATATCGCTTATGAATCTGATTATATCAGATCAAATGATATATGCAAAAATAGATTGCGTGGTAATGATTATAGAAACATAAGAAGACATGACGATGGATTACAACAGAGTTACAAAAGACCGCCGTTACATTTAAGATTTAAAGATGATAACAAATATCCTACATATTATTATCCTAGATCAAGATCCCCCAGCTATCAAAGATCTATAGATTACATAAAAAGACAAAGTCTCACCCCTTCATCTCCATCATCAATATTAAGACAACATGAATTTGACGACTACTTAAAAAATCGGGGATCGTTAACAACAACGCCATTAACTAAAGCGTCAACTACACCGTTAAAAAAAAAAGATTTAGAATTTAATATTATAACAACAACAACAACAAAAAAAAAACTATCTGAAAGTTATAATCAAATCTCGTCGAAACCTTCCATTAGGATTGAGAAACCTCCACTAATGCTTATAGTATTAGATCTGAATGGTACATTGGTTTATCGTGATGGTGTGCACAGACTGATTCACCCACGTCCTTACATTTCCCTTTTTAAAAATTATTTATTTCGAAACGAAAATTTTAATATTATGATTTGGTCATCAGCACAGAGAATTAATGTGAATAAAATGGTGAAAGAAATTTTTGGAAATGATGATAGTAACAAATTGCTTGAAATTTGGTCCAGAGATAAATTTCCCTTAACAAACAAAGAGTATCATTCCAAATGTTTAACAATAAAAGATTTAGAAATGGTTTGGGATGAGTTAAACAAATCTCTGAAAAATAAAAACATACAACCATCATCTTCATCGCCGTCACCACAGTCATCATCAATATTATGGGATCAGACTAATACAATATTAATAGATGATTCACCACTTAAAGCTCAATTACAGCCTTATAATGCGATACATTTAAAAGAATTTAATCGAGAATTATTCCATAATGGAAATGATAGTGAATTATTAAATGTTATTGAATATTTAGAATTGTTAAAATGTCAAAGTAACATCAGTCATTTTATAAAACATCGTCCTTACAACAGCAATCGAAATTATGCGAACCATCAGAACGAAATAAATATTGAATCAGTAAGTGATGATACAAGAGCTATGGCTGACAACTACGAAGAAGAGGATAACGAAGAAATAATTGAGTTAGATTTAGACGAAGAAGATTTATAGCTATCTATTATTTATTTATCAAAAAATATATTTTACCCTCGTTAGATTCCTGGAGTTCTAAACTTTAATTTGACAGAACTGAGTTTTTGCAGTTAAAAGTATTTTTGTATAACAAATATTTTTGGATCATCTGTTAACATGGAGGTGCATTCCTTTTAATTGGCTAATTTTAATTTACAAAATTGCTTAATTAAAAAAAATTTTATCACTCATTATATTAAATCTAAATTATAGTTGTTTGCCGAAATTGTTTGGAAAAAATAATTACGGAAATCATTTTGACTTTTCATATGAATGAACATAAAATAACTATGCTATTTGATTAAGAATTCAAATAATTTCGGACGTAATTTGGACAATTATTAGGATTAATCTCGGCTACTACGAAAAACTATTTCGGCATTTCGGATTCGACAATGATTTATTGATGGTTCTTTTTATTCTTTGTATTCTTTGGAGTGAAACCAGTTGACCGAATGAATGCAAGTGGTGTCTCCTGTAAGTTATTACTATTAACATATTAACAGACACAATCAGCCAACATTGAATAATAATTGAGATCTTTGTTTATAATTATATGATTGATCACCCTCCAGCTTAATTCTGACAAGCTTAATATGTAGACTATAGATAAATTCCGGCAAGCCCTTTTGAACTATATATCATTTAAAGAACATGACTTTTTATGGGTAAAATACCAAAAGTTATATGAATATATTGGGTAAAGTCTTTAAAAGTCATATGCCAATGTGGATAAAAAAAATTTAACTTTAAAAAGAAAATAAGGCCAACTTGAGAGGATTATCGATATCTTCAGTAATTTGTTTGTTGGGATGCTATTTTCCTAACGTAAATAGTTTCCTGTCGATATGGTCTCTCTGCTTCATAGATGATTTGACGTTTCAACTTTCTCCAATATTTTGCCAGAAAATCTTTTATCCCACACAGTGATTCTCGATTGGAATCACTAGTATTATCTGGGCCATTAATATAGATAGTAATAATAAAATATTAACGTTAGTAGAGAAAGTAACTTTAAAATTAAAAATTCTATTATTTTAATTTTTCTAAAATTGCTCGGGAGTCCTCGTTTGATATTATAAATATAAAACGTCATTAGCTTCCAAAAATCAGGTCATCAGTATATTCTTGAATCAAGGCCACACGCAATTCATAGAAGGTCTGTCCAATCCAATTACCAAAGTACCAAAAGCTGTTTAAAACTCGTGCGATCATAAAATGAATTCTCGTCTGCCACAACATCATACCATACTATGTGCCCAAGCCAGATGTCAGAAATCCTGTCTTATGGTATTAGTAACGAATTTATATCTTCTGTAGCTACAGTTTATGACAATAACAAGATGCAGAATCCTAAGCCAATTCTAGAAGAACTCTGTCAATACGAAACGTCCTTATTTTTTTCGTGCCAGACCTCTTCTTCCGGTTCTTCTAAATATTATTCGATTTCCAAAAGTTCTACAGCACTAATAGTAAGTGATGATGATATTTGTCGTGTTTCACGAATTGACTTTTAACAATTATACGAGTTGGTTCCTTTTTTATTATTTTTTTTTAAAGATGGACATCAACCTTTATTGCAACCTTCACAGTAAGTACTTTGAAATTTATGTGTTAACTCGCTTTTATTTTGAAACAAATAACTTAAGTGTTCATTATTTCTAAAATAAAAATGATATTTATTTTCAAGTAATTAATTTATAAATGTTGTTCTTTAGATTTTTGTTTTAAATAAATCCGCGGATACATCAAAAATTAATCAACTGTTCAAATATTATTATAATATAAAATTACTAACAATTTTCTCTTAATGGTTACGGAAGGTTTGATGCGGTAATTATCATCGTAATTTTTTTAATTATAACTTTTTATTTTCTATTAATAATTTATGTAATTAACTAGGAAATAAATGATAAACCATCATCACTTGTAATATTAAATATCAAATTCTGAGAGTAATTTACACAAAATCATGAACTCTGTATTATCTACTCTAAATGATAATATGGAAGGAGATAAACATGCAGAAGTTCTAAGTGGGTAATTAGACTATACTTTTATTTTAGCAACAGTGTACCTTGCTGATTTAACAAATATTTTAAAGAAATTAATCAATTAGAACATTTGTGGAATGCTTGCAACAGACAAAGTGAACATTGTATCACCTAAAGATTCCAGGATCCAAAACTATTTACAAACATTTGTAGTAAAGGAAATGTCAATTGGCTAAAATATGATATTTGAAATATTATTAACTAATTTGAGAAAACAACAAATCGCGATTAAGATTACATTATCTTTCCTACAATCAATAAAAATGGGTTTTTTTAAAAAATGATGAATAGAAGTTCTTTTTTGATTCCTGGTTTTTTAGATGCTAATAAACTTGATGGTTAATTATTAGTTAAATCAGAAATTGGTTGCGACTTTCTTCCCTTTTTGTCGACCCATTCAAAAGTGATTCAAGACACTTACTGTCATCGGCTACACTTTTGTAAACGGATAGTAACGCGTATATAAATTCCTTCACATCATGTAGCTCCAAAGAATTGTATGGAACCTGAATTTCAGAATGAAATGGTACCCTCCCAATTGGGGAAAAAGCCTCATCGTAATAAAGAAAAGTAATATGTGTATCCAAGAATAAAATTACACACGTGTATACCTTGCATGTAAATATTAATATGTAAATTTAATTTTTATAAGATAAAAAAATCCTTGCCAATTAATTGAATGTAGATGAATGTGTCGATTTCCATCACAGTTCATGTGCCTTCATCAATTTTTTTGTTGTTGTGGATCTGTTTCTCTTTCTGATTTAAAAGCTTACTGTAAATATTAAAAAAATTATAAATATTAACTCTAGTAAAAATAAATTATTCAAATGATATTATTAATTCACATATTCTGCTTGCTATGTAAAAATAACATTTGTCTATTCTGCCAGTGTCTTTTGGGATGGAAACAAAAAATTCCTCGCTGATACTTTTCCCAATAAACGTTTCTATTTAATAAATAATCGATTTGCACAATTTTTTGTAAGTTCAATCATAAAATCTGCATAATAATGCAACTGGATCATGGAAATCAATAATATAAGATAAAGCTGGTATGTCATGCGCAAATTCTTTAATGTCAAAATATTGCCATATTAATTTGAAACTTCCAAGGACTTTATTATATAATGCGTTTGAATCTAAATCATTTTAAAAAATAATATTCATTTAATTAACAAGTATCCTATATGATTTAATGGCAAATAAATATTCTTCAGTAATATATTATTTTAATTTTTTGTAATAGGATTGTTCGATGAATGTACTAATTCGTTGGAAGAATGTGTTTTAGAAACCTTTTTTAATTATTATTATTTATTTATAAGTATAGCAAATAATTGTCTTTTTATAATAAAACTAGAATGACGATGAGTTGCAATGATTGCAACCACCACCACTATTCTTTTAAAAATAATAATAACGTCTTGTCTTATAAAAAAAGAATTATTTGATCGACAAACACGTACATACCAATCATTTACTATTACTAAATCTCGGTATAATGTATAAATCTAGATTTTTAATATTAATTTAAAGTTTCCAAATTTCCATTTAAATGTTTTTGCCCCCCATTAATTCACGAATTGTCCTGTTTTTTGGTGGTAGCTTTGATATAATAAATTACTATTATTATACTTTTGAAGATAGTAGAAAAACAGCAATGTATAATATCATGATGCCATGTTATATATAATAATAATAATAATAAATTCAGTGTTAGAATTTCGAAAGGTCATTTATATTCAACCAGTGATAATATATATATATATATAACTGGCCCATATATTCAGCACTAATTCATAATACAAATACAATGTAAATAATAAGCATCACACCAAGACAACCAGCAAACATCATATATAGGATGATCTAAAAATTTTTGATGACATTTCAATAAATCACCTTGATTTACTATAAAGTAGCATGCCAGATTCAGATTTACAAATTCAACATCAAAAGCAAATGAACATATTTTTTTAACAAGGCGTAATGAAAATTAACTTTAACTATGGAAAAATATTGCGAGTCTTGGATTGGCAAATAATCTGTACACCTTCTGAAGTCACGAAATCTGGTACTTCGATGTTAAATATGATTAATCTAAAATTGCTGCTATTTGATTCTATTCAAAAGTAGTCAGTCTTTTGTCATGTGCCATTGAAAGTAAAATCGTCCAATTAAAACTATATTTATCAAAGTTGCACAAGTAGCACAGCCATCTTCACGAAGAAGGCTTATACTTTTTTTTAATATTTAAAAATTAAAAATGTTTTTTTCTTTTTTATTTATATTTTATGAACATTTCTAATTATTAATCAACAAATAGTAATAAAATAGGAACCATAATATCCATATACATATTTTTATAATGGAACAGTTAAATAATATCACTATTTGGGATGTTAAAGATGCATTCAATAAAGTGTAATGATTTTGAAATTCATTCAATGGAAATTAAAATTAAAATTGGTTAATTAATTAATATTATTCTTATTCACTTTAGGAAAAATGTTGTAATGAATTATACAGAAATGGAAGCTAAAGTACGTGAAGCAACTAATAATGAACCTTGGGGTGCTAGTAGTACTTTAATGTTAGAAATTGCTCAAGCTACATATAATTAGTAAGTTGAAATATAAAATAAAGGATCATCTAATGGTTAATAATAAAGAAAATGACAACAAAGAATAATTTGATAAACGATTATTGATTGACCGATCTATCGATCGAACGATTTTATAATTATCATCTTCATATCGCAATTATTCAAAAATAATTACTTATTTTTTCATTTTTTTCCTCAAGTCAATGCTTCAACGAAATAATGACAACAATTTACAAAAGATTTATAGAAAAAGAAGCAAGATATTGGAGACAAATTTATAAAGTTAGATTTTTATGTTCATTGTTTCTAAAAATTTAAAATTTAAAAATAGCATCATCATTGATTATTATTGTTGTTACAGGCACTTCAATTGTTGGAATATTTGGTGAAGCACGGTTCTGAAAGAGTTGTGGATGATGCACGTGCACATATAGCTTCTATAAAAGTAATGAAAAGTTTTTCTTATTTTGATGAAAAAGGAAAAGATCAAGGCTTAAGTGGTAATTATAAAGATGGGGAGGGGTGCCAGTTGAAATGGATGACGGAGGGTGAAGGGGTGGAGGAGTGAAAATCAATCAATTATTTATAATAAAAAGCTTATCAATAAAATGTTTATAATGTATAGTACGAAATAGAGCAAAAGAACTTTCAGAATTGTTGAATGATGTAGAAAAAATTAGAGCAGAACGTAAAAAGGCTAGGGCTAATAGAGCAAAATATACAGGTGTTAGCTCAGGATCTGTTAGTTATGGTGATTCTTTCAGCAGAGGTGGAGGATTTGGTACTAATGGTTATTACGGCGGGGGTGGTACAAGTAATGGCATTGGTTTTAGCAGTGCTGGAGGAATTAATGGAAATTATAGTAAGCAATTTTATATAACATTATACTTATTAATACGTGAATAATAATAATAATAACAACAACAACAACGATAACAACAATAATTAAATTATAGGAAGTTATAATTATCATGATCAAGATGATTCTAATACACAATGGCAAAATGAACGAAATAGAGGAAGGTCTAGTGCTGATTCCAATAATAGGAATAGTTTAGGATCTTCTAGTAAATCAATAAATGTTAATACCAACAACAACAACAACAACAACAACAACAACGACAACAACAACGACAACAACAACGACAACAACAACAACAACACTGCTACAACAACTACTACGACATCTGCAAGTGATTCAATAACCCAAGAAGCCAATTTGTTTGATTTTGAAGATTCATTACCCAATATTAATAACGACTACGACAATGATGACAATAAACATATTAAAACAAATTCAACCGATTTTGGTAAACAATGCAATAAAAAACTTTTTCGCAAAATTTATTTAATTTATTTACTAATTTTTTTTTTTTTTTTGATTTTTTGTTTGTTTAGATGACGATTTTCAAGATTTTCAAAGTGCAACATCAACGTTTGTGCAATCCTCCTCTTCAAATTTAGCTGGTATTCAAACCAACTCTAACACTAAAAACACAAGTGCTGCACTACTACTAAAACCTTTACAGTTAAATACTACATTACCCAGCGTCAATAATACTAACAATAGTCACAACAACAACAATAATAAGTTGTTTGATGATCTATTTGCGTCTATTTCACCTACTTCACATACTAACAACAACAACAACAACAGTCGAGGAAGAATCTTCGCACAAAAAGTAATTAAATATTTTTAATAATAATAATAATTAATATAATAGTAATATTTTATTTGCAATAATTCAACAATTAATTACTAATAATGCACTTGTTACATCGAAACAGTGTTATTCTTGCGATCACTTTCACTGATTCTACAATTGTTTACTATAAACTTCATGAAGGCATCGTTCCTCCTATAGATAAGAATAATAATAATGAAGAGAATGATGATGTTGATGACAATAAAGATGACATTGATAAATATATATGAATCGAGGTAAACTTAAAAGATATTTATTATTTAATTTAAATATTTCGGCTGTGTATTAGGTTTGCACTTAAAAAATTTATTATTGTTGTTATTAGTGATTAAACAGTTCAAATAAAAATTTCAAATTAAAATATTTTATTTGATTATTTAATAATTTATTCTCTTTTTATATTTTTATTCAATCCTATTTTTCCTAATACCCAACGTTTAATCCCATAACTTTTATTTGCTAGGGTTGATGCGTTTTCTATTTTCGATGATGAAGGTGATTTTACGAATGAAATACCTCCATCATTTGAAACTATGGCATATGACATTGAAGGAAGATAAGGTGGTGATGATAACGATGATGATGGTTTCTTATTATGTGAGTTCATTGGATCTGCTGCCACAATCTCTTCTATTGAGGGTGATGCTAAACTAAAATTTTGACAAAAATCAATTAGATTATTATTATTATTATTATTATTATTATTATGAATATGAAGATTAAAGAGAAGTTGATAATTTACAACTTAAAACCTCCAAGAACCGGCTCAATTCTACTTGATAAATAAAAATCTCCTGGTCCCGTTAATTTTAGAAATTCCTATTTATAAAAATAATAAACATTAAAAATTCTCATTTCAAAATAAATTATTTATTAACAAATAACTTACTGGACCACCAAAAGCCCATTTTCTCGTTGCAACAGAAAATTTACAAATTCTATTTAACATAGGCCTTATTGTTGGACTGCTTTTAATTGAATCTAGGAATGATGAAGATGTCTCTGATATTTTTTGACTGATTCTATTTACAAGTTTATTTCTTTGGATAGATGATGATTTAATTAATGAATTAGATACTATTGGATATGTTTTTGAGTTCCATGCAACAAGATATCTGTAAGAAAAGATATACATATAAAGGTTAATAAAAACTATTTTATATTAATATATTAATATTTATTAATATTTATTTATATTTAAATACTTTGCATTCACCAAATAATCATCATCAGGATTCAGTACTAATTTATGAATGGTTCCATAATTTGAAATTACTAATGTACCTCTACCAGTAACACGGTATGCAAATGCATTCAATGCCCCCTAAATCAATAAATAATTATAATAACAATGTATGCATTAAGAATCTTTAAAAAATCCTTTAAATTGTTGTTATTATTTTTTAGTATTTTTAAAAATTTCTAACCATTCCACGAATATGACCAATATTAATTGAAACTCTTGGACCTCTTGCAAGAAAAGCATTTTTACGAACATAATATTCCGAATCGCCATCCATTTCAATCTTTGCGATATCAGATAAATTTTTTGGACTTAAGATCACATCACCAGGGTCAGGACCTGTTGAGAACTAAAATATATATAATGAAAATGATGGCGAAGATTTTTTTTTTTTATTATGTTAGAGTAGTTGGAAATTGAATTATATATAAAACAACTCTTTTTTTGTTTCTAAGTTTAAATAAATACTTTATGATAGATTAAAGATCCACCAGCAAATTTTCTACCTAAAGCAATTAATATATTTCCTTCAGTTGTACGTTCAACGTGTATCTAAAAGAGAATAAAGATAATTTTAATATATATTTACATTTCAATGTAATCAATCAATCAATCAATAAATCAATAAATCAATTCATTAATTATTAATTCATTCACACTTTGCTTGATACAGATATGGCAGCTCCAGGAAATGCAAATATCTCTGACCTTGGTGGAATTTTAACCAAAAGTAAAGCACCCAAAGTACCTGGAGACACAACTTCGAATTTTGGATCTGGTATAGGGTGATGTTTTGTCCATTGAGTGGTGGAATTTATTCCTTATTTAATTTATAAAATATATATTATCTAATTTTTAATATCAATTATCTAAATATTATTATATAATTAAAAATTATTATTATATTATTATAATTGATAAACTTAAATTATTACCAGGTTTTACAGAAGTAATGACACTTTCATAAGTTTGATTATTATCATTAGTAACATTGGTTTTTTCATTTGTTTTTGTATTATAAGCCAAATCAGCATATGAGCGTATGATAAAACTTTTAAATTTTAATACAACGGAAATGTTTTTTTTAATAATTAAATTACTTGACATTTTTAATTTCTATGAATCAAAAAAAATCTTGATAAAATTTTTAAACCAATGATGATGATTGGCCAATTAATTTTCGATTTTTTTTTTTAAGTCATTTTGCGATTTTTTTTATTTCAATATTTAATTTATTATAAATTTCAATATGACTCAATTCATTTAACGGCATTAATTGTCTGATAGCAACACCATTATCACCACCACCAAGTAAAGTGTTGAATTTTTTAAATAGAATTGGTAAAACTTGTTCCACGCTGATTTCTTGATTTGTTTCTCCTCCTCGTTTGTTAAGTTCTTTTGTAATCGAAGTTACACTTTTACCCTCAATCCCACAAGGAATTATGTGATTAAACCATCTTAAATCTGTATTACAATTAAGTGCAAATCCATGCGATGTTATAAATCTTTGAACTTGAATACCTAAATCATTATGTCAAGTTAATTATAATGAGATGAGCGTCGGTGAGAAGTTAATTAGTTAATTGCCATTTTATATTTATCATGATAATAACTTTAATTACCAATTGCACATATTTTCTCATTTTCAACCCAAACGCCAGTATCTTTGGTAGTTCTGGCTTTAATTTTATATTCAGAGCATGTATCAATAATCAATTTTTCAATTGATGCAACATAAGATCTTACCGACAACTAATAAAACCAATTATAAAGATCCATATTAATATTATATTGTTGGCATTATTCAGAATCTTCGCATAATGAATACCTTGAAATTATTTAGATTCAGTATCGGATAACAAACTAATTGACCAGGCCCATGAAAAGTAATCTTACCACCCCTCAATGTCTATTAATGGATTGATTGATTAATAGATTGATTGATTTTTTGTTGATGATTAAAATCAGTAAATATTTATTTATTAACTCTAAAATATTCTGCTCCTAATTTCTTTAATCGAATTTCTTCATCTTCTTCACCATCATCTTTCACTAGTCTTCTTCTTCCTACTGTATAAGTTGGAGGATGTTGCAGTAATATTATTATATCAGATGAAGGTTCATTAAATTTTTTATGATGCTCAACAAGAAAATTTTGTAATTCAAGCCCTTTTGAATATGAAAATTTGGAAAAATAAACATATGGAAGAATTAATTTATTATTGTTGTTGACATTGTGTTTTTCTATAATTAAGGAATAATTCCTAATTTTTACTAAAAAAATTTTTTTAAAGTGTAAACGAGACAAAATCATTATTAATTTATTTATGATCATCAAAATCACAGGTTTAATCGAAAAAAAATTTTATCATACGAAAATAAATCATGGTAATATTATTTACATTCAGTCATTGTACTTCAAGGGTTAACCAACCTAAAAGAACAATAATATTATTATACAACATAAATGGGATTTCAATGATTAATATTATAGTTAAATTCATATTCGATAAATTCATAATCGATAGTTATAATCATAATAAAATCTCGATAATCGATAAAGTCATAAAAATGAATTCAAGCTTTCGAATTAAGTATAGAAATACAGATGATAATAAGATTTCAATTGACAAAAAAAGAACAATAACAATTTATCTTTTCTTGAAAAACGTGGGATTTGTGAAGAGCTTTTAGCTAATAATAATTTGGAATTATTTTTTTTATTGTCTTTAAAGTCATACATTTCCTATTCTCATTATATTATGAAATTAAGGAGCGGCATAATTCGATAAATTCTGTACCAGACCTTATGAATTTAACGAGCTTTGATATCTAGCTTTGGCAAACATTACACAAATACTCATGCATTATGCCGTCGTTGTGGTAGAAGAGCCCTTCACAATCAAAAGAAAACATGCGCTCAATGTTGATGTCCAGCTGCAAAGACTAGCAGTTACATGTTTTTAATTAAATATAATGATTTATTATCTATTTTATGCTTTAGAGAAAATTAAAGTGCGCTGTATAATTTAGATAATTGGAGTGAAAGGCTAAACATAGATGTGCTGGTCGTATGAGATACTTAAAACTTGTGAATGACGTTTTAAGAACGGCTTTCGTGAAGGTACGAAATGGTTTTAAGGAGAGAGAAAGAAAGATAATTGTTGATTTTTTAGTTCCAAAAAATAAATCTATAAATTGAATTAGAAATCTTTTATATATAAATATATAAATACATAATTGTTAGTTTAATTTAAATAAAAGAAAACGAATACTTAATGATAGTGGCAGTTGTGACAGTTATACAATTTAACAAGTGGAAAACATATAACGAATGACCAATTATTTTGTTAAATCTCCTTGACCAGGAGAGGCTCCCATTGGATCTTTCGATATTAAAAACGTGCTGAAGAAGTGTTGTCCAGTATATATTGGCTAGTGTTGACTGGTTGTGTAGGTGTATAGGTTCTTGAGAATGGTGGTAGGTAAAATGGAATGGGAAGTTGAGAACAGTCTTGATACACAGCGATAGAAATGGCAGCTGCTGAATGAGAATCCCGAGGCTTTGTAGTGTATCCACGCTTGAATGAAATACATGATGGGTTGATACACTCAACAGCACAATCGTGCAAGTCTTCTGGAAACACCATACACAAGCTTGTGAGATTCGGTACTCATTAATCATTTCAACAGAGCAGCATAGAAGATGCTGCTCTCTCATCTTACCACTACTTCTGCAAGCATGACCTTTTATACAAGAATTAACTTCTGTATCAGCTGTGCCAATTAACATAACTGGCAGGATAAATAGATGTGACATAAAAGATACTTTCGGTAGGAATAAATCCAAGAATATCATGAATGTGAACAAAAAGGAACTTAATGTTGTCAATGGTTAACCTTTACATGAGATATTTAACACTCTTCATGTACTTGCAGATTTTTCGATCGAAGAAAGAAAATTTTCTCTTTTTTATTCCACTCTCACACTTCCCAAAATTCAACCATAGATACACCTATTTCTATTCTAATTTCTGTTGCAATTTCAATTGCAAGTTGCAAATTGGTAAAAAATTTTGTTTCTGAACTTTATTAAATGAAATCTTTTAAACAACATTAATTGCGTGATACCGTTTTCATTTAAAATTGTTAATCTATTAACTATATTAAGAATTACATTTGCCATTATGTAAAAAATTGGAAATTTGTGCAAAACATTCTTCAAAATTACATTATTTAAAGATTTTTAAAGATGAATCACAATAATCATTATTATGGTAACAAATCACAAAATAGTTCAAAATCAAGAAAATATAATAATGATAATAATAATGGTAACAATGATAACAATTTAGAATTACAAATTCATCATCAACCTTATCAACAACGTTATCAACAACAGCAGTGTCGTCAACAAAATATTCAAAACAGACATCGACAGCAACATTGTCGACAACAACCTTATCGACCACAACATTACAGATTTAAAGTAGATTCAAGAAATTTACATCGTCATGATGTTAATGGTGATGACGATGGCGATGGTAGTGATGGTAAAAGAGAAGAAGTTGGACAGCACCAATTTGAACCTGATTCATATTATAATAACAATAAAACATATCCAAGAAATGGTGAGAGAATGAGATATGATGAACACAACAGACATTATAATAATAGTAATAATAATGAAAAAGAACCTCACTTTGCTACAATTGATTATTACGAAAACAATGGTAATAATAATATGTATTATTATAATTATTATTATGAAGATTGTAATCCATATAATGAAAAATTATATTATAACAAATATAAAAGGGACAGATATGAAATTAATAATAATACTCGTCATATTAGAAAACGTAATTTAAATTCATATTATGAAAAATCAAATTTAAAAAATGATTATTATCACTTTACTAATAATAATAGTAACAACAACAACAACAACAACAACAACAACAACAACAACAACAACAACAACAACAACAACAACAACAACAACAACA